TAAAATTCAAGAAAAGGTCGTTGTGTGTCGTAAAACAAATCCGCAACGTTCTCATCTGTTGACGGGCGCGAGGTTGAGCGCCCCCGACATCACTGAAAACTCTCAAATTGTCCATCAAGAATCAGTAGCACCCCGGGTTTACGATCCCTGCCGAGCATCGTAAAACAACTTACGAACGACACTCCACTTTACTACCCCTGCGTTTTTATTTACTTATAACCAGCTGTTGGTGAGATTTGAGGAGAAATATTCTACTTTTTAAACTTAAAAATACGAATAAAAGGAAACATTATTGTTTCAAATAAAAAAAAAATTGAGCCATTTTTTTCAAAGTAAATGCAATCTTTAAACATACAGCCAGTTTTAAATAAACTTAATGCATGTAAAACTTTTATAAAACTACATATCTAAAAGAGTATTTAGCAAATGGAATTACATATAAAAAATCAAGTTGCTCCCCAAAAAAGAATGAAATCTAAACGTGCCATCAAACCATCTTCCCTTAGTGGCAATTCGGGTGCTGTATTCATGGTTGCCATCCGAATCCATTGCGTGAAACAACGCCCCGTCACGGGGAAATCTCCATAACGTCGAGGAAACACACTATTTTCCATTTTATACCACATTTAGTGTACCTTTGAGCGTTCGGTAGCGAGCCATGATAGCTTACTTCTATCGAGTACATGCGGAAACATACGGGTGAATTTTACACCATGAGAGCTGAATTTTTTTGCTTATATAAATATAATAATAAATAAAATATCCTAAATCAAAATAAAACCACACAGACATCAGCTCCTATAATATAAGTATATATTTATTTTAGAAACAAACAGTCAATATAATTATACTGTGTCTATAGTCGACGACTTCAACATAACGAAAACGCTCCCTATAATCTGTCCCAAAAGAACATTTCACAATCGATGCTCATTAGGTGCAAAGTCTAGTAATAACTGTGGAAATGTCGAAATATAAACATTCATGAGAGTTAGCAACTCTTAGTATTAAAGAAATCGACTCAGGATAACGTTATCCAGTATATTATAATTTAGACCCTAAAGAAGTATATAATATAGACTAGCAAAATTTTTATTTTATATAAATGAAAATCGCATCATACACGCCTACACTAAGTGCCTGTATGTCCTCTCACACTTCACTCTTCCCGCGATAAAACACCCATTCTCGACTGTAATCGGACGCTGAAATTTTACCAGGGAGATGCGTATCGCGACCGGGCTCGGTTTCACCGATTTTATTTAGATTTAAACCTCTCGTTTTCTGTAAAAAGCTTTAGAGGATTGTTCTCTCACTATCGAAATAGCAATCGCGTGTCTAGCTCGTGGGAACTGGAATCGCTTCGAACTCTAGAATAGTTAGATAGGTTCCTCGTGGATGATTTTTTTTGTCTTCAAATCACTTAATATTGTTCAATTATATTGACAACGCTTTAATACCAGATTTATTTAAACTATTTTTTTTTATTTTGAGTTTCTATCCTATTAAATATAAAATAAAATTCAAAACTGCAAAATTCACATAACAAAAAGTTTAACATTTATCAAACTGCAGTTGATAACAATAATAATTCTAATTATTATTATTAATAAAATAAATTAGAAACGAAAATCTGTTTAAGTAACGTTTGAAAAGGTTTAAGTTCGTGCTTAACTTTCAATTATTAATTCAAATATCTGGTGTGTTTAACGAAAATAATAATATCAGTGATCTTTTAATTTTATTTACACAATTTATTAGGTAAATTTAACTCAAAAATTAATTAAATAAAATACATCAACAAAAGAAATCTTTGCCACAGTGATATCAAATGATCTCCCGCCAACCGCACCTTGTAAAGGTTAGCCAACATTACAATTACGAGAGAAAACGGGCCGAATTAAACACAAGAAAAACAATTACCCCTTATAGCGCCATAACAATTCGCCCCGCGCCATAAACAGCGGGCTAAGCTTCAAAAAACCCCTTACACTCGTCAAAATAATTCATTTTAATTTTCTTTACGGGCTAGTAAACCTTTATTTTACGATGGTACTACCCGAGATAACTTTGGGACTCCCTTGAAGCCTCTTTGCTCCCTTTTAGTACCGTTGCCGTGTACCAAGCGATTCCAAGCGGGAAAACGCTTGCCATCCCTTTCCGACAACACCAATTAGATAGAGGTGCACAGATATAAAAAAGAAACTCGACACAAAGGAATCGAGATCTCAAAACCGCACCTCGCCTTTGCAACTTTTCTCGTCGTGTAAATATTAATTATAAATAAAAGAGCTTTTCGTGCAAATAAATTATGATAACTGTCTTCATTGTGATGTTAATTAAATTTTTCTTTTACTTTTTGTTTCAAGTGCCTTTCTGTGTATTGTGCGAGTTGATGTTATAAATAGTCGGTGACTGAGTTTCCATTGACTATTATTTTTCTTTGCACGCATACACGATTGTGTATTGAAGACAAAAAGCAAACTTATATCCAAATATGAACAACTACGTAGGTAATATAGTAAAATATACCTGAAACGAAATATATTATAAATACTGTTGATATTAATTATAATAATAAGTTTGTTATAAGTAAGATAATTACAACAGCAGTATAACAAAAGTACCAAGGCGCGTGAAAACGAGTGGAGTTCTTGTGATCCGGCCCACTTAACGCCGTATTAAGCGACCTCTTTGCGGTCTTTACGACTCGAGTAATGTCGAACCCGACGCCCCGAAGACTCTACAGAGGAAAACTGGTGGATAAACTCTCCTGAGGGGTCAAGGCAGTAAAGCTGCTGTCAGGTGCTTGTGGATACTAAGTAATTACAATCAAACAAGCAATTAAGCAAATCTTAACAAGGAGTAATCTCATTTTGTTGGCAACTAATCATTTAAACCATGAAGTTTATACGTATACATGTTCATAGTTTGTCATCATCGATTTGACTTATAATTTATGGTTTATAACTCACGTGTGATGTATTCCGGTAATAACTTTTTCATATCCAGTGTAACAAAACTAACAACAAAGGCATTTGACCCAGTCGGCGCGACCCCTTTTGGAGCGATGTCTTTCCGCTCCGGCAGCGCATCATCATTTTTCACAGTTCCTCCATTTATTTTATCTGTGCACCGCACGCCCTGTCCGACGCGACGCGATAGCGCACCGCTGCTGTTTCGAATTTCGAACTTCCCAAACCAACATCAGCTGCTGAGACGACGAGATTTATGAACGCGCCCATTGAACTAGAATTATATTTGAATATGGAATTCGGTGAAACTTCTTAATATTGCATTAGGTGCAAAATCTAAAATGATTCAGTGCTCTAGTTAGGTTTATTTTTCTCTTTTTTATGAAACAAAAAAAGGAAAAACGGCGTACTGTAATTAGAATATTTTTTATAATGCAAGAACGTCACAAGCATTATTTTCAAGCACACTTACCAACACGTTATGTTTGCTATATCGACGATTTCTTTGCAACTCAATTTCGAGATTGCACGTCCTTTTTTCCAACAAACAAACTGAAGAAAATAGTACATAACATTGAATTATGTATTTTGTAGCCATCCGTGAAAACCACGTGTGGTCTAAGTTTGTAAGTGAAAGAAATGGGTTTTAATTAAAAAACTGCGGCATTTAAAATGTTAATCACCCATATGTATGTAAGTTAACGTAGCGACTATCGCTCGTCGGTCTCATAGATAAAGGAGCTATACTTATTATTACTATCATCGACCCATCGATCGCAGCTGCTCATTAAATAAAGCTATTGACACACGAAACGCGGTCTTTTGTCGTAAACTTAGAATTTCTATATCAAACCGCTGGTCTACCGTTTTCTCAAATATTCCGATTTTCTGAATATACATAATTGTTTTATTATTTTTTCTTTCTTTCTTCGAATTTTTTTCCGTGAACTATGAACGTATTTGGAATAACAAAAGCAGTCTTGTATGTTATTGTTACTTAACTATAATTAACATAAATATGACAATGATTACGAGTCGTTAATAAAAATAAAATTAGAGCCGGGCATTTTATTACTTATGATGGCAACTTAAAATCGCATATTATTCAAAAGCAGTAGACTAAAATCGCACATCGTGTGCACGGTCCTTTAAAATGGAGCACTATTTAATTAAACGCCACCATGCCTCCATTGAAAAGGGCAATCGTTATTAGTGCTTTAATTAATTCCAACTTATATATATATCTGCGGCGAATGACTTATGCGTAGGCTAAAGGATACGTTATTTTAACATTTTGTTACATTGTTACCTTGTACTTGCTGAGAGTTTAATTACTATAGTCAGTTGCTCTAATTACAGTCACCTTGCAGAATCGAAAAATTCTTTCGAGTTATAGTAACATCACCTGTAATATGAGTCAAAGGTCGCTATTCACTAAATTATCCTTTATATTTTTTTACAAATTAAAAAAAATATATATACAGATTTTGTTCAAAGCATCTCCGGCAATTATGCTGGAGATGCTTTGAACAAAATCTGTTTAAATCTAATGTATTTATAGAGTTGTTCATACTCTAAAATAAAAAAATATATATGATAAAGAGATAAATAAATGTATTTAAAATAAACAATAAATATAGTTAATCATTATAGCATAATTTAAAGTGTGCATAATATATACTTACATAATGTAATTAGTTCCAATTTGGAATAATAGATGGCGCTCATCAGTTGTGAATAGCCGTATAGTGTAATTTTTCCACAATTGATATATATAATTGTGATTTTTCTTTTTATTTCGCCCGTATTCATAATTACATTATTTGGCTAAATTTTAGTCTCTTATTTAACCGTCTCTCTAGATCTCGACTTTGTTCAAAGTTATCTGTTAGTTAATAGTTCGAAAATGTTAACAAATATATCAAAATATTCATGTATTTTAAAAAGGAAGTATTTCCATATAGTTTCGGTAATGATATGTTGCGTCAAACTGGCCTTCGCCGTCAAAACTGAAAAATTACTTCTTTAAAGCCACAAAAAGTCGCTATTAAACACGATGCCACTCGATGGGGGTGCCGGCATCAGCGAAAAAGGTCGCGAATTCTGCCCATCTCGACATTTCGCTATCTCATTTTCCATTTGACAAACATCATTACATCTTCCTGCGTCGCCCCCTAGAGGCAATTTTCGGAAGCTCTCGCGTGCGCTCGGGCGAATTCGCGTATTTCCGGCCGGAGTGTTCTTAAGAGCCACTATTGTTTTGTCTTCTAGTTTCCTTTACAATACATATTAATGTTAATGATCACTAATGTATATCATTGCTTGCTACAGTTATTAATCGATTATTTGATATTTGAGTTCAAATTATATATTTTACGTCATACAGTTAATGGTTATATTTATAGACACACCAAAAAAGGATACGTTTTAATATAAAATAAAAATTACTACAATCACTAAACACAGCCTTCCATAAACTATACTGTAGACTGTTGAGAATGACTATTGAGAACTGATGGCCATATTTCCATTGTGCATTTCCAATTTTAAATATTTAATAGATGACGTTTACTTACACTTTAGTTAATTTCGTGCAACCGGCCAGTTCATGATCTCTTAATCGTTTAATAGTGACGCGATTTCTGTGATCCATTTTCAAATTTAGTTATATTTTTTTATCTTTTTAAGTTTCATATATTAATGGAATACTCCCTGACGTTTTGGCTTATATAATTATGAACTTTTTTCGTTAATATTTATATATATTTCGTTTTTATTTTTACTATAGTAAGCACAAAACCGTATGTAACCCTCGATCCATACGTACAATGCTATCGCCTAATGAAATGGAAACAGCTGAGTTTTGAGCGCTTTCCCGCTACAATGGCGGAGTGGAGTATGAGGGGGGATGATTAATTGTCACCCGCGGGTGGGGGGTTAGGGCGATCGAGCGGTGCTTAGTGCATCTGTCTTGCCTCCTAGAAATAGTTGTACGTACGTCAGTGCACTTAGCGTAAGATGGTTTTTTAGTTTTTCTTCGTTTTACACAAGTGTAAGACGTGCTTCTATTCTCGTTATAGATAATATATAATAAGTATGTATTCCATAAATAACTTCGCGAATGTATAAATCCTGCTTAGTTACGTATCTAACTCTTGTACTTTACCGGAAATCGAAGGATATAAAATAATCGTAAGAAGCGTTACATTTTCCTGAACCATAAATAACGGAAAATAACTTGATGGTTCCTGGTTCAATTCTCTTATGTCCCAGGTCTAGGTGTTGTGATACCCCCGTTGTCTGAAATACTCAATAACACAAGGGCTTTAGCTATGCATCATAAAATCTGAGCAATGTATGTGATGTTGTCTGATATTTATTTATTTATTTAATGTGTGTGAGTGAGTGTGATGAAAAAAATATCAAGTTCTGTTATAATGTGTAAATATTGTGCAGTTATGTATTTTATAAAGTAGCATGGGTCGCATGGCCGTAATCCTTGAATAGGGGTAATTTTAAAATCAAGAAAACTGGTACGAACATACTATATCTTAGTGCCACATAACGAACACATATTAGACAAATGTAATTATAATTGCATCTTCAATTACATGAAGCTCCGTAACAACAAATGCCAGGTTCCGTGCTAGGGGTGCGGCGGAACCACCCTCGAGCGATAGTGATGCGACAAACTCGAACGGATAATTTAACTGGCAGATAAATTATCCGTATTGGCTGCACCTAGTGCCTTAGATCATTAATTAAATACTTTAAATCAATATTTTGTGTATCGTATCTGTTTTCTTTTACAGTCATATTGTATTTATCAACATCTCAAAATTAGCTAGGTAATGAAAATTCATTATCTTAGTACGTTTTAAGTAATTAGACGAATAAAATTTTTCCTTTTTCAATGTGCTAATTAAAAAAGAATAATCATTTTATAAAAGATTTCAATCTTTATTTAACTAGATAAGATTAAATTGTATAATTTTTCAACTGTCTTAATTAATAGTTTATAAAAGAAATGACAAATAGTCAAATAGATGCTTTCCGCATGAGAAATAATTAATAAGTTTTAAAACAAACGTAACTCATAACTCATGTCTTATGATTGTATTGTTACGATCTTTTATAATAATAATGAACTGCTTATTACCACATGTCCGAATAATTACAAGAAAACATTTTTACACTTGATAAAAAATAATTTTGTTATATTTTAAATAGGTATACCAATGTAAGATGATTTTGAAAAATAATACAAATAGTTTTTCAGTAATAAATAACTTTAAAGATCTCGTAAAACTTATATACACAACGTATTTTTTGAGTGTGTATTTTTTTATTCTTTTAGAAATTCCGGATATCTGACTAACGACACCATCACTAGTGCCGCTCCCTGCCTACATCCCCTCTGTTTGTCCGTCTGTTTGCGCGACGTGCGAAAACAATCTGCGACCGCTAAACGCGGATTAACTTACTGCTTACATAACTTACTGCTATTGGCTTTTTTATCTCCAAAATGCTTTGAATAATGTATTAGTTTAACACGGGCTAGCTTAAGGGGTGATAATGAACGAACGATACATTAACAAAGTGATAAATTATTTTATCGAATAAAACCTTCAATGATTTTTATTGGTATTATTTTTAAACATTTCTTAGTAACTAAAGCATAACTACGAGTACAAAAAAAATCATGACTGTAGTTAATTAATTGTCATACACAAAAAGGCTTAAATATAAAATATGACGTAAGTAAGCAAACATAATATATTTAACACGGCAATTCCCGGAGTTTTATTAAAAGAGAGCGTCCCATCTGATCTCGTAAAAGTAGTCATAACAAGTGTCAAGAGAAGCGTCTAGGAAAAGATTCACCCTACAATTTGAGTTTATGACGTATTAGTGAGCTGTCACACGACAGACGTTTACGGCGTCGTAAAACGACCTCAGCACTTGTTGAGTTTTACGGGCGTAGACGTTGCCCCATCCCTATGATCTGCATCGTAAGGACCACAACACTGTTCGGACACGGAAACTAATTCTGTTGCGCAACCGTTTCACTTGTTTCGAATTAGGAATTCCAAATTCGAACGCTAATCTCATTATTATTCTTAACACGGAAACAATCAAATTAAATCAAACTAGGTACTGTAAATATAATGCTTATAATTGTATTTGCATTTTGATTTATCAATAAGTTTGGTTTGTTTTACCATATACGATGGCTCTATGGAGTCAATTCCCTTTGCCTTTTCTATACGGATAAATGGACAAAATAAACACTTTGCTTTTACTAAAAGTATTTTAATTAATAATAGAATAGTGATTTGTTTATGTTCTATACTCAAATTTTTTAATGTTCCTAATAAAACAGGCTATACTTGGGTAATTCCTAAGCCCACCAATTCTGCACGCAACTAACGATCCGCGTAACTATAATTACAGGCATTCGTTGAAATGAAAGGCGTGTAAAGTTACACTGCACACAGTTGATTATAACAATATCCTAAGTGATTTTCAAAGCGATTCTAAGCTGTGTTAATCTCATTTTAGAATCTTGTTTATGGCCTGACTTTTGAAACGAAAAATTAGTAAGAAGTATGAAAGAAGATAACATAAATTGGAATTACCTACATTTAGTAATAGACTAGATACTACGAGAGCATTTAATATTTATCAGGATTATATTTTGCCCATCCCTGTTTCCAGTGGCATAAAAACTGAATCTTTTATTGCAGCCTAATAGAGAATGATTACCAAATCGATAGTATTTATTATTCTTTACTTAGTGACTTTTTACTTTCATAACAAAACTTAGTGATCTTCTTAGTTTTATTTTACTTGTTTCTTTCGTTGATTACTGACGCCCGTTAGACATTTCTCGCACTTAAACAAATAGAGTTAATTAGTTAACCTTTGGTTGTTATACTGGTAACATCTGCTCGCATAGGTGCGATATACCTTCAGTAACTTATGCCCGCCGGGGCGCCGGTTAATAGCTAATATAGCTGCCTAATGACCAGACTCGTCTTGAATGTAATGCCCCACACGGGACTAGAAACTGCGGTAAAACACCGCGCATTCATGTTACCCTGATACTTTTGGTTATTTGACGATGGGTTTACTTGACTGGCTGTTTTGTTTTAATGGTTTTTTTATTCTCCATGTTTGATATAAGACAATTGTTATTACAAGAAAGTATTTCCTAGTCATTCAGTATTATTTATAGAAAAACAATCAAGACCCATAATAACTCATAAAATATAGGACCACTAAAAGAATCGTATTATGTAATGTACCCAATTGAAATAAATTAAATACTGAATACACCTAAAGAACCACTCCTAAATATTTCCTTTTTCTGATGACACATCCAAAATACGTTAATGCCAGCTAAGGAAATCTATAACGGAAGTAAATATTGGCTGATAACAATACTAAATTAATTAGAAATGAATCGTTCCAAACAGAACTAATAAGTAGTAATGAACAAAAAAAATATCTGATGAAAAATATCAAAAGTCATTTTTAAATGTTTCGTCCTAATTCAAAATCACATAAATTCACATTGCATGATTTAGTGCGAAATAAAATTCTTTCACCAAATGACAGAGACGTAAATCAGTCTAAAATTATTCCAAGGGGCGCCTGCGCCTGCGCCGATACCAAAATGGCCGCGTCACTCGACGAAACGAGAATTTTAAATACGAAATTTTACGTTCTAATTTAATAGCTTATTCTATTACAAAGGGATCATTGTTTTCACAATCCCAATGATTTATAGCAGTGCTGTAAATAGATGGTTTTTTTTCTCTGTTGGTTGGTATTAAAGGAACAGTCGCACTTGTTAAAATATTTGTTAACTACCGGTCACAGTGATTTATTGGCGACCTGCTCCTTTGATATCTGTGATTGTAAATATTCGACACCTTCTTCAAAAACACAGTAAATGTATTTTTTATTTGGTGAATTGTACATTACAATGCTATGTTAATATTTATCATATAAAAACTAACTAGCTAAACATTGAGATATTAGAAATATGAATTGATATAATTACAGCTACGACTCGATACAGCAAAAAACGAAGGCTTAGTTTCAATAATGAAACATTAAATAAGTATAAGTATTCAATTCCTCGTCTAGCAGTCTGGATTTAATTTTATCAATTTAAAAAACTGTATTGGTTTCAAACACTCAAACAATAGTGTGATGAAAAATATGCAATTTTTGTGACTTAGGTTTCGTTGAAACTATGAAATTTGTTCAGTTTGGTATAATGCAATATTACTCATGTAAGTAATAACAGTTATTCAGTGTATATTTTAGCCGACGAGCACAAGCGACCGTGTAATACAGTAAAAAAGGGACCTAAGGGTCGATGCTAATCAGACGAAACATTACTTTAGCTAGTGCATCACGGTATAGTATATGGATCATCCATCTTATGTGTAAGATCGAATGTCATCATATATACTTATAAAGACATCATTTCTCATTTTGTTTGTTTATTTGTTATCGGTAATCTTCAGAAATATTGAAAATTCTTGCACTTACAGGAAGTCAAATCACACTCGAGTGCTGTAGGCTATAAATTTATGCGAGCTTAATCGCGGTAAAACAGCTGCTAATATATAATTGTTT